TCATGTTGAAGCCACCTTGAGCATGGTTTTAAGCTATGGCAAGGTAGTGTACCAATAAAATCTCAAACTATTTCCTAGCCATTACTTTCCATTGAAGAAACATCAACCAATATCCCAGGCCACTAATAAGCAAGCCTGTTAGCAACAAAAGGCATACAACTTACAAGCATACACACTATTAGTGCAGCTAGATTATCAAAGCCAGCTTTCCTACCAAAATGAGGGGGGAAATGGCACCAAAAATATAACAACGCTTGACACATTTCGTTCAGAGGAGCTAGACTGATAGCAAACCTTCGAAGCATTAATGAACAGAGCAATTATTATAATTTATCTGGAAGGGGTTGAGGGAGGAAGAACTCCACACATCAAGATCCACATTTCATTTTTTTTCAAACTCATTAAAAGCTTTTAGACAAATGTATCCTGCTGCACCTAGCATTATGGGCTGGCCCTCACTTAACTGCAAACATAGAAAACATAGCACAAATCATAAAAACCCAGTGCTTAGTGAAGTCCTATAAAAACCTTCCTCTACTAGTTCTGTACACCTATGAACTAAATCAATTTAGGATTGAGGGGGCTGGGGTGCATAGTAGTGGTAGACATTATGTGACATTTGTCCACTCCATGCTGATTGCTCCCAAAAATATGAGAGACTCTGCCCACTATTCTGGGCTTCTCAATTAAACAGCCTCCTCATATGTTTCTGAAGTGCCACCTTTTTTTGGCAGAAAAAGCTGGAGGGTAGTCAGGTGGGTTATTCTGCACTGTGGTCTTAAGTCACTATTGCACACACCAGTGTGAATACTCAAGATGGAAGCTGGTTCTAGACCACATGCAAATTACAAATGTCACACAGAGGTCACGGTGCACTTTTTAAGGTCAGCAATAGTTAACGAGCTGTACATACATTGGCAATTTTCAGAAAGTGTCCTCTTTGAGACTATGCAACGTAAAAATTGAGGTTGAGTTTCTTTTAAAATTCACTTTCATGAACTACAAACTTGTTGCTGTCATGAATTGAATTGATTTCTCAGCAGAGGCAGGTATCATTTGTTAGACCCTTAAATTATTTTATCATCCAGCAAATAATCTTTTTCTTCATTGCAAGTTATATCCATGAGTGGAAATAAATCCAGGACACTTAAAAACAATTAAGAACAGATATTGTCAGGGAACTGCCATCAGTGCCGGAGGGAGAGAGCAAAATCCAGAGGGATTCCAGAGAGCGTCCTGGGATTGGGAGAGGCAGCCCATCTTCTGGGGAAGAGAATCAGCGTAGCACCAGTGGAGAAGGGGGGCAGATGGGGGAAGCGGCGAGGCGGTCCCATGACTCCTTGCCGGGGACCAGCGGGGAGAGTAGAGGTCCTCCGCTGCCTACGCCCTCCTTGCGCAGAAGGCTTTCGAGCAGAGAGAGTAGGAGGAGACTAGGCGTCAAAGAGCTTCTTTGCTGGGAGAAGTTTAAGAAACGCCCACTGACGGATTCTGCCAGCGATTGAGACAGCCACGGGTGAGTGGCTGTCCGGACAGAAAAGGTTCACTCAGGCAACCCAGACAGGTGTTTGCACCGGCTTACGCACAAGCAACCCCTAGAACCACTACAGATATGCTTGCATTAATTCTTTCAAATCTACTTAAGCAGCATGATGTATTTTTAATTCAGTTGAAATATTAATATGTTCAAGGGCTATTATTATTATTATTAAATTTATTTATCCTTTACCTATTCCTTGACAGGAACTCAATGCAGCTTACAGATAAAATAAGAACAGCTGTCGGGAATCATGTTTTCAGATGTGTTAGTGTTGCAGATTCATATTTCTCTAAGCATATAAATGCTCTCCCATCATTTTAACTGCTTTAAATAAAGTTCTCTCACTGAAGTGATCTATAGCTTTTTCCCTTCCCCAACAAAATGGATTAATATTTTCTGCCATTTTTTCCTGTTCATCTCTGAGGAACTGTAAAGGCACGTTCCAAAAATAAAACTAAATTTTTTATGAAGGACATTTGCCATATAGATCTTCAGATGTGCCCACTTATTTAAGTCATTTTCTTTTGCTTCCACATGAATTTATTAGGACTGTATTCTAAGATCTCTTTCCATTTTTGTGTGATCCTAGATATTTAACTGGCTGTCTCTCCAAGCAATGTGTACTGTCTTCTTTGGTAGGTTTGTTTATATCAGGGGTTGTCAACCTGGTCCCTACAGCCCATTAATGGGCGTTTCAGGATTCTAGGTGGGTGGTTGAAGGTTCTACGGCACAAGCTGAATCCTCCTTCCATTGAGCACTGGTGGGTGGCAAGGAAATTTTACCATCAAGGAAGATGCATTTGTGGGTGGTAGGTATAAAAAGGTTGACTATATTATAGCCAATTCATTTGGGTTTTGTATCCAGAAAATGTGTATCTATTAAACTTTTACCCAGAGACAACCAAAAAGTTAAGAGTTTCCCCCCCCCCCAAAAAAAAATCAGGATTGGGTATACATAATCTAACATCACCAGCGCACAAAATAATTTTTACTTCTTCCCTGCATATTTTGACCTCATTAATTGGCAGCTTCCCAGCCACAACAGCCTCCTGCCTACCCTACTCCCCTTAAAAATAATGACCAGTTTTTTAAGAGCTCGCTGCTCTTTCAGGGCCCAAAAAAACCCAAACACATACACTGAAATAAAGTGTGAGAGGTGTGTTTTTTTAGATCTGCCTGCACATTCTTGTTGCAGAAGGGACTCTGCCACATAGAGGGGCAGAGCCTTGGAACACACCTGAGCCCAGCAGTTGGATGAGCCCAGACAGCCTTTACCAGTTTATTGTATTGATCTTGTAACTGTCACTATAACACTTTTCCAGATGTAATAAAAGAGTATCACGGTGTTTTAAGACCATAATATTAGTCGTTAGGAAGATGATTCACAAACATAGTAGCGATCAGATTTCTTTTTAAGGAAAAGAAGAAGAATTCTAAGAGACAGTGCAATGGAGTGCTAGCTAGGGGGAGGAAGAACAGAAGCACTTTTCCGGGTGAGCAGCAGAGGATCATTGCTGGGAAGACAGGTAATTTGTCGCATCAGATAAATGGTCCATCCAAGCACACTTGAGTAGCAGCAGCTGCCTAGGCTTCCCAGGCCCTTCTCAAAGGCTGTACCAGAGCGTGGTCGAGGGTGGATCCCCAGCCCTTCTCCATGCAAAGCAGTGCCAGATTTATGTATAAGCTAAACAAGCTATAGCTTAGGGCTCCACTCCTTTGGGGGCTCCCCAAAAAATTACAGTTGTACCTCAGGTTAAGTACTTAATTCATTCCGGAGGTCCGTTCTTAACCTGAAACTGTTCTTAACCTGAAGCACCACTTTAGCTAATGGGGCCTCCTGCTGCCGCACTGCCACCACACAATTTCTGTTCTCATCCTGAAGCAAAGTTCTTAACCCAAGGTAATATTTCTGGGTTAGCGGAGTCTGTAACCTGAAGTGTATGTAACGAAGCGTATGTAACCCGAGGTACCACTGTATTTTTATTTTTATTTTAAAGAATATTTATTCCAATTTTAAAGTTACAAAAAAAATATAGAAAAAAACCAAACCACATACATCTTACAAAAAACAGACAGTAAAAAAGAAATAAAAAAGACAAAAAATCACAGTAGAAAATGACATAAATCAAATTAGACCATTACAACCATTTTCCCATTTACTTGTTTCCGTGACTTCCTCTCACCTCCCTGCTTTGTATTCTAGTTTAAATC